TGCTCGTCTCATCAAGATGCTGTGCCCTGTATCATTCTCTCAAATCCCCTTAAAGAAAGAGTGGTCTGGCAGTCACAGGACGGTTGGGAAAGTGTCATCGGCTGCGTTACTGTACGTGCTTACAGTTTCCTGACTGTTAATTTATTGTAATTACTCTCTCCCCAGCTCCAGCAAGCTTCAGGGTAGGCTGTCTGTCAGCTGGAGCTGTGTGTCCTGCTGCAGGTCCTTACCGTACAGGCGCGGCTGCTTGTCCCTCCTGTCAAGCACAGCGACGAGATAAGGCCCAGGTTCTCCTCCTGCTTCTCCACACACCAGCACCGCCGGGATCCTTCACCCTCCTGCACCGTGCCCCAGGCTGCTCAGACAGGCCCCAGGTGCAGCGGGGCTGCGCATCAAACACGCACTGGAAATGTTCGTTTGTTTTTAGTGTTGGGCATCGTTAAGCAATTTGGCCCTGCGGGGTTTCACCAGAGGGGTGAGGGATGTGCTGCTGACCGGCAGCGGGCTGTGCCTTTGGCTGTGCAGCCAGCCCTCCCTGCGCGCCTTGGCTGCACCTGCAGGAGCCCTGCAGCCCCCCGGCCCTGCAGCCCCCTGGCTCTCACCCCCCGGCTCTCCCTGCCTCGGCAGTGGGACGCAGGGACCCGGGCACAGCGGGGAGCAGGAGAGCTGGGAAGCCCAGCTGAAAGGAGGGATATGTTTTGTCTTGGAAGCTGGTGTGAGGTGTCCCTGGTGTAGGACCTTGCCGAGGCTCTCTGCCGAGTGGCAGCTTCATGGTGACACCACTCCCAGCTTTCTGTGCCGACACGGAACCAGTTTCCATCCCACCCACACCTCAATTAAAAGCTTCCCAGGATGAGGCTGGTCCTTCCCTAACCCCTCAAGCTCCTCTCTAAAATACCCTCACACCACCTCTTGTTTTCTCAAGCTCTTCTGAGTCGAGGCCCCGGGTGACGTCTCGCTGTGCAGAGGTGGAGGTAAGCCTCCAGCAAAGCCCTGTCTCTGCAGAACCCCCTGTTGCTTTCAACCTGTGGAGGTATGGACTTCCTACACCCGAGCGCTGGGAGTGTTACCCTATAGCCTAAGAGACTTCCTCTCTTTAGGCCGGTTTCCTTTGGAAGTCTGACACTGTGCGGCCTCGCTACTGAGCCGGGCAGCTCCTGTAACTTAGCAACTTTCTTTTTGCTTTGTTAAGTTGGGCTCTTCAATCTCCTTAATGAATAAGAGAATCAAGCCAGGTAATTGATGCTTGGCCGTTTAGCTGATGAATAATTGACTGTCTGGGTAATCCTAGATATTTCCTCGATCAGATTGTGCAGTGGAACAGCCGTATCATGCTGTGTGCAGCGTTGCTTGCTCATTTGTGGGGCTGGAAATGTGCTTTGTAAACCCAGGTTCTGCAGGAACCTGCACAAGTCAGCACTCTTCACTCTCCCTCCAAGCAGACAATTTGTGATAAGAGGCTGCATCTCAGCATAAAGAACTTATGACTTGAATCTTGAATGAAAAATGAAAAATATTGTTTCTAAAACAGACATAATTTTCAGATGCACAGTAAAGAAAAATACTAGGGACTAACAAAGAAATCCTCCCCTTCCAGGGCAGGGGATCTAGTTTTCCATGGTAGGAAGCAGAAGGCAGGTATAAACTATTGTGTTCACCCAGTGAGGACAAGGAAAGTATCTTTGTGTTTGGTATGCGTGCTTCAGCTCGCTCGTGCATCTTGAAATGTAAACTATCACAGCAGTATGCTTTTGGGTTTGCAGGAAATTATGTGGTTGTTGTAAATCGCAATTGAGGAAATTTTCATGGGTCATTTTGGCTTTGTGATTGTGTTAAGTAGTGCTATTTACAGCCCATTGCAGAGAATATATGAGAACGAACTGTGGTTAAATAACATACTGCTATATTTCAAAGCTTTCCGTCAGTCCTGTGTAAGCGTTTACTACATAATTCCTAAACTCAATTATATAATGAAACTGAGCCTATTGACAACTCGCTGACTGTGATGGGCTTTGAATTAAATTCTAAATGAGAACAGAATATTTTGATGTATTAGGAAAATGGGTAATGATCTTTGAATTGTGACACTGAACAAGACCGCACGGCAGGTAAAATGCACGCTTTTAATCTGACTTCTACCTTCAGATTTTCAATGACTCACCAGTGATGTTTCATCAGGGTATGGGTCTGGTGTTTTTTTTTCCTTCCAGAAATACCATTAATTATTTACCAGTAGGTGAATGATCTCTGAAATCTATTGCAGTGACACCTTTGAGTCTGCAGATAGTTTCTGATGGCAAACCATCTGGGCTCTTTTAACTTGTTATTGTTTATCCTTTGGACTTCTCTCCTCTGTTTGTAAGGTGTAACGTCAGTAGACGGGGCCAGGAGCATCAATATTTTACAGCTTTAATTAAAGGGAGCTCGGCAGCTAGGTTACCCAGTCCGGTTTCTTTCAGAACAGCTGCCTTCGGGAGGGAAGGGGAAGGGGAAGGGGAAGGCTGTCCTTACCAGGGGCAGTCGGCAAGCTGCGTTCTCGGGGTGTGCTGCTGCGGCACCCCCCCAGCCCGAGCTCTCCACCCAAGCATGTGGCGCTTGGCTGCAGCGCAGCGTCTGAGCAGCGCCTGCCCTTCCACGCGGGACGGGAAAAGGAGCTCGCTGAGGGCTCCGGCAGCTCCTTGCTCGAGAGGGAAGGCTGGCAGCAGCCGAGGGACGGAAGAGGAGAGCATCGGCCCCCTGCAAACGCTCTCGGAGCTGGGGGGGGAGACGTGCTCTGGCGAGCAGGCAGTACCTCCAGCTTCATGTCCAGCACTCTGCCTGTATCCTCTTATTTATTTACGTTAACCAGCCAGGCCTAAATAAAGAGAGGATTCCAAACAAAACAAAGGTCTGAAATTTATCCCTCTATTAATTACTTCCACCAAAGCGGGGCTGCCTATAAATATGGTGCCACTTTAGATAAAACTTTCATGCAGCTATTTAGGCCCTTTGAAATATAAATGATTTCCTTTAAATTTTTTATCATAAATCAGGGCAGGGAGCCGTGCGGCAGCACGCCGCCTCCCCCTCGACGGCAGGAGGCTGCTCCGCCGAGCCCCGTGCCTGCAGCCCCGACCCGCGCAGCGCCGCGCCCGGCCGCTGTCCGCGGTGCTGCCGGCCCGGCCCGGCCCGGCCCGTGCCCGTTCCAGTGCCCGTGCCCGTTCCTGTGCCCGTGCCCGTTCCAGTTCCCGGCCCCGTTCCCGGCCCCGCGGGGGCTCGCCCCGGCCGCCTGTTCGGCGAGGAAGGTTTTTTCCTGCGCCCCGGCCGGTCGGCGCGGGGAGGAGAGCACCGGGTACGGCCTGGGGCTGTGCAGCTTTCTCCTTGGAGGGGGTCACCGAGCAGCCTGCTGCCCCCTTAGCCCTTATTGTCCCTTGCTGTGCGGTGTGGAGGCAGGACTCTGTGAGTGTACTCGGTGTCTGTGGGTGTCTCCTGAATGAAGGGCATCTCCCCACAGGAGCTGTGCCTCTGTTTTCCTCTGGCCGCATCCAAGCTTGTCAGGAAACCAAGCCAGCACGTCCTTTGGCTCTTGTTCGGTGTGCATTGGGGCTCATAAAGCTCTTGGAAACTCTAAAGCTGGGCGTAGATTTTATTTTTGCTTAAGAACGGGACATTTCACGCTTGCAAAATGCTTAAGTTCACGGACCATCAAGTCTGGTAGGTGCCACGTCTGACCATGTGCGACGATTATGAGAAATCGAAAATAAAGCAACTGCTCCGAAGGAGAATTATGCCAGCCTATTTGGGGCGCTTGGGAGTGGAGTTGCTCTGAGCACGGCTCCACTCGCATTCCCGGGGCAGCCTGCAAGGGGCTCACCTCGCCCAGCAGCCTCCCGACCCGGCCGCGGGGCGCCTCGGAGCCTCGCCGGGACCTGAAGCTGCGCCCACGACGTTGAGGAAGCCCCACGGTCTGCCCACGCGCGGTTTCCTATGAAAACAAATTCCTCGAGGGAAATATTTCCTTGCGTTATCTTGACTTCAACGGAAATGTTGCCCCCGGGACCCTCGTAACGCCGACAAACGCTGAAATCAGCGGAATTTTACTCCCCGGGTCCCTCCTCTCGTGTAACGCGGCCGTACTGCGGCCCCGGTGTCAGGGGAGATTTGCCCGAGTGAGGGGCGCAGGACGGGCCCGGCAGCGGGGGGGGCACCGGGGCTGCCCGGGGGGCGCAGCCCGAGCCCGGCTCCGTGGGCGGCGCGGGGCGTTTGCTGTGGCGGCGCCTGCGGGGAGCTGGGGGCGCCGCCGCCTTTGCAGTTTGCCGAGCAGCTCGTGCGGTGCTCAGCCGGGGCTGCAGGGGCTCTGCGAGCCGTGAGGGAACCGCACCAGGCGCTTCGCCTTGTTGTGCTTGCGGGGTTTATCCCCCCGGCGAGCGGACACCCGAGGGGGCGGAGAACACCCGGGCGGCTCCCCGGGGGCTCTCGCGGCCGGGCCCGCGGGACGGGGCAGGGCCCCGGCTGCAGGACGGGGCAGCTCGGCCGCCCCCTCGCTGCGGGCCCTCGGGGAGGGACCTCGGCACCGGCGGCCCTGTGGGAGCCCTCCCGCGCCCGGGCCCGGGGTGCGGGCTCTGCTCTCCTCCTGGCCGAGTCCAAGGAGCCGCCGGGGCCTGGCCGGGCCTCGCCCGGGTTCCGCGCTGTCGGGGAGAAACTTGCCCCTGCTGCCCCCTTCCCCCGGCACCGGCTGCCCCGCGCCCCCCGGCGGCTCCTGGCGGGCTGCCCCGGCCTCTCGCCGGGCAGGCAGGGCCCGGCGCTCCCCCCGACGGCCGCCGCTGCCGGCAGCTCCCGGGCTTCGAGGGCGGCGGGCGCGGCCCCTCCGCTCCCCGCTGGGCCTGCCCGGCACTGCCCGGCCGGGGGCTGCCCGCCGCCCCCCTCCCCTCCGGTTCCGCCCCGCGCCGGTGAGCGGCCCGGCCCCGACGGCGCGTCCGGCCGGCCGCGGGGGCTGGGCTGCGGGGCGCGGGGCTCGGCGCTGTCCCGGTGCCGGTGCCCTCCGGTGCCGCCCCGCAGCACGCCTGCGCGGGGCCCGGGGCTGGCAGGCAGCGTGTAAGATGAGTGAAGGAGCGGGTGGGGGGGGCGCGAGCGGGCGCGGAGAGGGAAGCTCTGTCATTGAAAATAGCTCACTTTGACAGTGGCGAGGCAGAGAGACAACCCGGAGTCGATGTCACGGGCTGCCTACCTGCGAGGTGTGCAAAGATGATGGCCATGAACGCCAAGCAGCCCTTCACCATGCACGCTGCCCTCCAGGAGCCCAAGTACTCCAGCCTGCACTCCAGCTCGGAGGCTATGCGCAGAGTTTGCCTCCCAGCCCCGCAGGTATGTAGATTAAGCATAATTACCGCTTTAAGGCACAATTTTTGACAGGCACTCGCTTAATGTTTTTTTCATGTCACCAGAACAATCGCGTATCTCCGAGCCTCTCTCTCCCCCCCTCTCCCCTCTCCCTCTCGCTCTCGTCTCTGATCCACACGTCTCTTCGAGCAAAGCTTCTGCCTTCATATTAATTTTTATGACCTGAGCTTTGAGGAGGAATCTCTGTGCTCGGCAAGGTTTTTAATCCGGAGATGACAGTATTCCCCACTGACTCCACTATGCGCATTCTTGCTCGCAGCTCCAGGGCAATATATTTGGAAGCTTTGATGAGAGCCTGCTGGCCCGCGCGGAGGCTCTGGCGGCTGTCGATATCGTCTCCCACGGCAAGAGCCACCCCTTCAAGCCGGACGCCACCTACCACACCATGAGCAGCGTCCCCTGCACCTCGGCCGCCCCCGCCGCCCTGCCGCACCCCGCGGCGCTCACCTCGCACCCGCACCACGCCGCGCACCCGGCGCTGGACGGCGACCTCCTGGAGCACCTCTCGCCCTCGCTGGCCGTCGGCGGCCTGCCCGAGCCCCCGGCCGTGCCGGCGCCGCTGCCGCCGCACCCGCTGGGCGCCATGGGCCACCTGGCCATGGGCATGGGCCCGCCGGGGGGCCCCGCGCCGCCGCTGCCCGCCGCGCCCCCCTGCCTGCCCGACGTGGAGTCCGACCCGCGGGAGCTCGAGGCCTTCGCCGAGCGCTTCAAGCAGCGCCGCATCAAGCTGGGGGTGACCCAGGCCGACGTGGGGGCGGCCCTGGCCAACCTGAAGATCCCGGGCGTGGGCTCGCTCAGCCAGAGCACCATCTGCCGCTTCGAGTCGCTGACGCTGTCGCACAACAACATGACGGCGCTGCGGCCGGTGCTGCAGGCCTGGCTGGAGGAGGCCGAGGCCGCGCACCGCGACCGCGCCGCCAAGCCCGAGCTCTTCGCGGGCGCCGAGCGCAAGCGCAAGCGGACCTCGATCGCCGCGCCCGAGAAGCGCTCGCTGGAGGCCTACTTCGCGCTGCAGCCGCGGCCGTCCTCCGAGAAGATCGCCGCCATCGCCGAGAAGCTGGACCTCAAGAAGAACGTGGTGCGCGTCTGGTTCTGCAACCAGCGCCAGAAGCAGAAGCGCATGAAGTACTCGGCCGTGCACTGACGGCGGCCCCGGCCCCGCCGCCCCGACGGCTCCGCACCGCGCCGCGGCTGCTGCGGGACGGGGCGAGGCCGCGCGGCCCCGCCGAGCGCCCGGACGGGGCGGGCCGGGCCGCCACCAGCCCCCCCCCCGAGCCCCCCGGCACGGCCGAGGCGCCCCGGGCCCGGCCCCGGGCCCCCCGCTCCGCCGCCCCGCGGCACCGACGGCTGCCGGGGCCGGGCCGCCGAGCGGGGCCGTTCCGCGGTGCCCGGACCCGGCGTGGCGGAGCGAGGAGCCGCTTTCGGAGGCTCGCCCGCACCGGAGCCCTCCCGGTCCGTGCGTCCCGCCCGTCCCGCCCCGTCCCGTCCCGACCCTCCGCGGAGAGCTCCGGCCCGAGCGCTCTTCCCCACCTCGACTCTGGAATAAAGGCTTTATTTTTCAACCCGAAGGGGCCGTGTCTTTTCTGGCTCCCTCTCCTGTCCCGAGCTGGGCGGACGGCGCCGGGAGGAGCGAAGGAAACGTGCGCGAGTGCGAGAACAACGAAAAGCCGCCGGCGGTGCGATTCCCCCGGGAAGCGGGACGAGGCTTCGCCCCGCCGGGCCCCCGTTGTGCTGTGGGCGCCGCCACCCCGGGCACGGGCGAGCCGCCCCGGCCCTGTGCCCGGTGCCCGGTGCCGGTGCCCGGTGCCCGGTGCCCGCCGCGGCTCCGCAGCCCCTCCGCCGGGGTTCGAACAAAAACTCACCCAAAGAGCACCTACCGCGGGTTCATTTCTGATGCTGTTTAAGAGGGGAAAAGGCTTTTATTTATGATTCCCAGAAGCACCTTAACGATTAAAAATTAATGGTGGAAGCGCGCTTCTGAATATTTCACTTCGGCGTTTCACGGAGTGACAAACACCGAGCCGCGGAGCCGGGCCTCGCCCTCCTCCCCCATTAGGCAGCGCCCTGACAAACTCGGCCTTTTAATTGCGGGACGTGCGGAGCCTGAACGCTCCCTGGCTCCGGGTGCTTCCGATCGGCCCCAATGATTTTCCCCCAATCAAACGTCCTTTAATAATAAATGCCCTCATGCCATTACATTATATTGCGGGTTCTGAAAATTTAAAATAAGGGTGATGCAATATTAATTGCCTGCCGGAGTATAAAAAGGGCAGAAGGCGATTCAGACGGCATCTTTTCCCCGCCGTCCGCTAGGACTTCAGCAGATCCTCTCCGAGGCAGGGCCGGCGGCGCTGCCGGGGCTCCGAGCGGGCACTTTGCTGTAGGAAGGGCAGGTAAGAGCCGTTTCCACCTCGCCCCATTCCCGCTCACGGCTGCCGGCGCCTCCCGCCGCCCTCCCGTCGGGGCTGCGGCTCCCCGGGCCCGACGCCCCCCGGGGCTGCGGCGCCTCCGCCCGGCCCAGCGGTGCCCTGCGAGCCGCCGGGAGGGGGCCGGGGCCGCCCGCCGGGGCCGGGCCGGGAGCAGCCCGCGGGGCGCTGCCGGGGGCTGCGGGGCTGAGCTCGCCGCCCCCCGTCCCGCAGCCCGCGGCCGGTGCCAGCAGCTCCCCGGACAGGAGGTGCCCGGGCTCCGCGGAGAGGAACACCCCCACCCCCACCCCCACCCCCACCCCCACCCCCACACCCACACCGCACCCGGCCGGTGCTGCTGCCGGCGGCACGGTGCAGCCTCACGCCGCTTGGCTTCCAGGAAGGCTCAGGAATAACTTTAAGCCTCCTGGCGCTGCCCTCAGACGGGTGTACGATTCTCTCCAGCTTGTGTTAAACCCAGCTCAGCCAGGTTTAGCTCACGTAGCCTGTGTTTCCGCTCACTGGTATTTATTAAGCCTACGCTGCAGCTATGGTGCCCTTCTCACCTGTTCACTTCTGGGAGGGAAATAGGACCCTGCTTGTTCTTACAGCGGCAAAGGTGTCCACGAGGTTTTACTTTTTGTGACTGTTCTTATTTTGCCCATGTTTGTGTGACAATTTTGCATTTGTCCTTTTTGGCCAGGTCCCAAAAATGACTTAAAGATGTAAAACAACTCCTAAATGAACTTTAGACCTCAAAATCTACAATTACTCTCCCTGAAACAAGAGCTCCCGTGTGCTCCTTCTCTCCTTCACATACGCTGGCCAGTGAGGTCTGAGGCACCTGATCCTTCTTGCTTGTCCTCCTCTGCTCCCAGTTCCCCTCTGCACGGAGACAGAGCTGCCCCAAGAGGAGCTCCCCGTGGCTCAGGCTGAGATGATTCCCCTTGCCCAGATTTCACTCTCTGTGAATTCCAGGTTTCTTTCTCCTCTCCACGTGCTGTTCTGTGCCTTGCTCTGCCCAGATGTGACACACAGGACCTGAGTGCTTCACTTGGGGTTTTTCCTTGGAGCTCAGGTACGTTTTGTTTTAACCACGGTTGATGCCTAAGTCTTTCACTGGGTTTGGCTGTCAAAGCTCCAGCTCCAGGTGCATACACTGAACACGAAACTCATCTGATCCTCCTGGAGCTGAGGAATAAGTTATTTTGACTGCAGCGGGAATAGTTTGGAACTGGTATTTGTTGCTGAGGAGGCACGAAGTAACAGCACATATTTTCTTCCTGGTGTAGGGGGCAGTGCCCTGAAGCTGGGAAACAAAGCCAAGGGGTGATCAGGGAAGGGTCATGGCTGTGCCTGGCTCCATCCTTCCCCTGGGGAGGCCCTGGGCACCGGCTCCACCCCGGCTTTTTTGGCCCAGCCCCTCCTGGGGCGGGCAGGTGGGGGGCACCTCACTCTGTGTGGGTGCCAGTTTGGGAGGAGCTGCTGCCAAAATGCAGCCCCTCGTACCCCTGTTCACCTCCAGCTGTGTGAGGATGCAGGATTCCCACTTCCACAGAGGGCTTGGGCTCTTGCTGCTGCCCAGTGGGTCTGTGGCAACCACCCTGTGATAGTTAATTCCTTAACACCCCCCAAACACACACGCAAAAGCTCCCCCCAGCCCTGTTAAAACAAAACCATCCAGGCCAGTGTGCTGTCCTGGCGAGCAGGGGAGCTGCCTTCAAACGGCAGCCTGGGCAGAAAGCAGAAAGTGAAACCTGGCCTGAGCTGGAAGATGGGCAGCGGAGAAAAATGCTCAGTAAAGCACATGCGTTTGAGACAAAGATCCAGCAGGCAAATCCCTTTATATGGTTTCTGAACCACTAACAATTGATTTATTATTTTTTTTTCCCCATTCCGTGCTTGTTCCTTAATATCCTGCTTTCTGTCTCCCGGGGACTGCACACGAGAGATGAAAGCAAAGAAAACCAAACAAGCCATTGGCGGTGCTCACTCAATTGATTTTTACACAAAATTTGCCTTCATGCACGAAGGATAGAAAAATGATCCCATTAATAATGAATAACAAAAACAAATGCAGGGAGGAAATCAATAGAAGCACATCTGATATCACAGGGAGATGTGCGAGGGGGCCCCAGACACACAACGGCAGGGGCAGGAGGAGCAGGGGGCAATGGGATCGGGGACCCCCAGCCCCTGCCCTGTGCCGCTGGGGGGGGTGGCCCAGGCTTTGGCCCCTGCTCTGGTGGGTCTGTTAAGGTGAGGAGCACCGCCTGCACCTGGCAGGTGTGGGACCTGCGGGTTATACAGGCATCACGGAGCTGTTCGGTGACAGCTGGGCTTGGGGGGTTGGAGAAACTTTAGCCCTAGCACATCCTGCTTAGCCTTGAACTTGTCCTAACATTGCCCATCCTATCCCTATCCCATCCCATCCCGTCCCATCCTGTCCCATCCCATCGCCATCCCCGTCGCCATCCCCATCCCTGTCCCCATCCCAATCCCAGCCCAGCCGCCCCAACCCCCGCGTGGGGATGTTTCAGCGCCGCACCCGGTCCATCTCTTCCCCACAGACGACCTCAGACGCTGGGGGTTTTGCTGCAGAGCCCGGTGGGCCCCGGGCAGCACAAGTTGGTGTTGGCCCATCCCTGGCTGAACAAACGCCCTGCTCAGCTCAGCAGCAATGGGGCTTCCCTCTCCCTCCTCCCCTTCTTGCAACTCCAGTCAGTCTGGGGACACCGAGTACTCGTTGCCACAGGCTGCATGTGGGCATTCAGAGCAAACACAGAGCTCTGTGGAAATGCACTGCCGCAAACCCTGACGTTTTACACCGATATGGAGCAGCAGGAATCGGCTGCAGTCCTGCAGGTTTTCCAGTTATTTTCAGAACAGAGCGTTGTAAAGCAATTAAGTGAATTTGTCTTTAATGCCAGCAGTTGTGCTCTGCGTTTTGCCTGGAAATGTTAGTTAGTTTTATTCCGCCATCAAGACATGACTTAAGCTTTGTTTCTAAAGTAAATTTAGAGCTATAGATGGAGATCCGTGTCACAGCGTTTTGTGGAGGAATGAAACAATGTGCAGATGAAAATGAAATGCTTTGTTTTAAAATCCAAAGAGAATTAAAAATGTGCAATAATGCTATATAAATCTAGATCAACTGTTGTAAAATAGTACTGACACCAGCTAAACGTCGCCAACCTGCCTGGTGAAAATGAAGCCCTGAATGCAGCACGTTAGGAGCGCCCGCACCCTCCTCTCATGCCGCAGAGGCTGCGGGTGCTTAGGGTCAGCCAGGTGCCAGACATTTATTTCTGGTGTGTGTGGACGCAGGGAGCCGGTGGCAGGGATCAGGCAGCGCTGGCATTGGTGTGAGATCAGAACGGAACAGGCTACGTGGAAACGGACTTCTCATCTGCAGATCTGCCCTCTCTGCCAGGGGCTTGTTGCAGACTAATTCAATGGTTCTGGGACGTGGCGGTAACAGGAACACATTCAGGAACGTTTTACAGTTCAGCGCCCTGCTGCTTCATCCCAAGGACGGGGTTCCACAGCCGGTGTGTGCTGAAGGAGAGCACCAGGTGACTGGACGCAGTGCCTGCAGGGACTGGGCCGGGGCTGCAGAGCGTGGGCTTGCGGGGGGACCCCCGACAGCCCCAGCCGGGTTACTTCCCCCCGCGCCTTCGGTCCCTGCCACGGGAGCGCCCAGTGCTGCCCTATCCCCAGGCACAGGGTTCAGGGATCAGCTCCCTGCCCCTTGGCACCACCCGGCCCCGGCAGCCCCCACAGCACCCCTGGGCGCCGCCCTGTGGGTGGGTGGCTCTGGGTGCCCGAGGCGTGCCGGACCCCTCCATCCACTCACTTTCCCAATGGAAAAGCTGGGACGGAAACCAAGCCATCACCCACCAAAAGAGCAAAGCGTTCGGATAGTGCAAAGGCACTAAATAATTCAGCACCTATTTAAAAGCACAGCGTTTTGTAATTTCAGTGGAACCGCCCCGGTTTGACTCCCCACATCTTCGGCGTGGAAGGAGATGCTCCCAGCAGGCAGGTGAGCTCCTCTGTTCAGGAGAGAAAGAGGCAGGGAGCAGGTGGGGAGGTTAATCACACTGTCAGCATTTACTTGCTTTTTAAACTTGCATGAGTTTGGAGATCAAAATGGAGAAGAGATGTAGGGCAGATGGATTTGCAGGGAAACCTTTGATTTTTCTCCTCCTGAGGCTGGTGTGTCTAATGCATGCGTCCTGTGAGTTTACCAGGTCCTTGTTTACACGGCATAAGCCCTGCCTCCAGGACCTGGAAGCACCGGGAAGGCACCCAGGGAGGACCGGGGTGCAGGGGACGTGTCTGCACCCATGGGTGGCTGGGAGGGGCCCCACCAAGGACACCACGCTGGGGACATCGCCCCGGGATGAAGTTGTCCGCTGGGGACTGCGCTGCTGGGCCGCTTCTGAGCAACAGACGGTCCCTGCAGAAACAGGCTCAGAGTTACCCTGGCAGAGCTGCCTGTGCCTTTGCAAATGAGAGTGAGTGTGATTTAATGGATTTCTGCTTCATTGTGTGCACAGAAAATGCATCTCCACCCGGGAGGACAGGATCCGTGTGCTGCCAATACGCCTGGGCTCCAGCTCCTCTGATCCCTGCGGGACGGTGGGCGGTGGGCAGCAGGTGCCGGTGCTGCAGCTGGGGGCTCACCCCAGTGCCCGCCCCTGCAGAGCCCCCCCACCTCACCACAGGCGTCCCAGCGCCTTGTGGCTGCATCCTGAGGTTGCTCCCAAGCAGCAGCCGGAGCCACTCATGCTGCTGCGGGCAGAAGGCAGTACGCTGGCACCGGAGCCCGGGGCCAAGGTCAGCGCTCTCCGCCAGACACTGGCTGTGCAGAACTCACTGGCCGCTCACACTGCCAGAGGCGACGCGAAGTGCAGGGACAGCAGCGCGCTTGGGCTCAGCTGAGCTACTTGTTCTGAAAGAGAAGCCAAATGGGTTGGAGCTGTTTGTGCTTTCAGACACTCAGCGAGCAGAGCCACACGCAGAAGCTGAAGTATTTATGGCACACAAAGAACATCCCTTTCATCTTCAGTGTTTGAAATCTTCCTTCAGAGCCACCTGTGGGACAGTGCTGCACGCAGCTTGCCCAAACACACTGTGTAATTCGCACAACAAAAAACACATAAAAGAACATCAGGCCTGGAGGACAAACCCCTGAAAAATCAGGAACGCTTTCGGCACGAGGACTGAATTTTCAGGGCCTGCATGGGATGTGCACAGATGCTCCAGCGGGGTGTCAGAACTCACGGCCACTTGCCAGAGCCCAGGGCCCTCCTGCAGGCCCCCAGCAGCTCTGCCCCGTGCAGCGGGCCCCGAGCAGCCCCGACCCCGCCTGGGTGCCGGTGGGGCTGCGTGCCCAGAGCCGGGGGCTGGCCATTGGCCGGGGACAGCAACCTGCACGGAGCTCCTGGCACAGCCCCACCGTGAGCGCTCCTTGCTCAGGGAACAGGAATAAGATGTGGCTAGGGTCTGAGTCAGAGACAGCATTTAAAGTTTGAGACCTTGGTTGATTCTGAATACGTTTGTTTTTCCCCAAATGCCACAACAGGTTAGTCTACAAACATTGCCACAGCATGGCCTGAACGCAGCTCTCTGCCTCTACGCAAACAAACAAACAAACAAACAGGAATACAAAACTCCACCATCCTTCTTTCCTTCTTTAGGTAATGCAGTGAGAACTTGTAAAAGCATCTGAGAAAACATCCAAGCTCCTGCTTGTTTCCTGGTTGGTTTTTATGCTCTGCAGATCCCCCAGCAGCTGATGGCCCTGGCCTCAGGGCCGGGCGATGGCATGGGGCAGCTGACGGGCAGAAGGGCTGTGCTGCCCCCCCCAGCCCCGTGCTGGATGAGGAACGGGACGGGCGGCTGCAGACGGATCAAGAGAGGCGAGGGGGAGCTGGGACCAGCTCCAGGGGGTCAGCCTCAGTGCTAGGGCTGCCAACGGCACGGCAATGCCTCACAGCTCAGAATGCGGCCAGCAATCTCAGTGTAAAGAGGGAAGGAAATACTCAGAACTACCTGTATTGCTGGGCTTTTAGAAGGGTGAGAAAGGTGATGTTTTTCCCAGTAGCTTTCTAAAAGGAAGGGAGCAGTGAAAGCACCGGCAGCATTTCGAACAGAGCGAAGCATTTTCTGTGTCAGAGATGCCAGGGAAGGAGGAGCCGCTCGCTTCCTGTGCGGTGAAGCAGCCCGCAGGGCTTCCCACCCAGGGCAGCTCCGGCTGGAGGTGGCGACCTGGTGCCCTGCACTGGGCTGTGTGGCCACCTCCAGCTGCAGCACGGTCCTGGGGGGCCGCGGAGGGGGGCCCCTTCCAGCCCCACGCCAACAAGGCCTGGGCAGCCAGAGGGTGTAGGAAAGCTGCCCGGGGTCCCGCACAAACAGGGCGCGTGAGTTAGTCAGGTCATATCAGCAGCTCCACATTGAGACGGGCTGGGTGCCACGTGCGTGCACATTAACATGGAAAACACATTAGTCCCCGCCGCTGAAACACGAGCAAATTGGTCATGGGACTGGATGTCCTGGGATTTAACACTGATGCCGTTCCCCAGGACTCATGGCAGACCTGAAGCAGAGCCTGAAATGCTCCAATTTACTGCACTCCCCGGCAGCCGAATGCACAACAGGCCGGGAAGGCTCGCCTCAGCGTGCCCAGCTCAGGTCAGCCCCCAGCCAGCACTCACGGTGCCTCTGGGAGGAGCACATCTCAGTGCCCTGTGCAAGGCCTGCTTTTGGGGTGCCCTGCTGCACCGTCTGGCTCTATGCTGCCCGGCGGCCCTCCAGCCCGGGCCGGGGACACTGCCTGCACATGGCAGCGGAGATGTGAATCCCTGACGGTGCTTCAGGAGGCGCCCGGGCAGAAGCAGAGCTGTGGGCAGGAGCTGGCAGGAGGGCGAGGAGCACCCCATGTCCCTGCCACCCCCCGGGGCCTGCCAGGGGCCTGGTGCCACAGGCGCCCCAGGAGTGCTGGTGTGTGGGGCCGTGCCACGGCACCCCGAGCTAGGCCTGAGGCCCCCGCTGCCTCCGGGGAGCGCCGTGCTCAGCCCTGCCCCGGGGAACCAGCCCTGACGGGGCCTCTGCCGGGCACCTCTGGTGGGCTCCTGGCTGCTGGTGGCCGGGCAGCTCTGCGGTGTCCGGCCCCGGCCAGGGGAGCGGCTGTGGGGAAGGAGCAGCAGAGGCACCGGGAGCTGTGGCGCAGGAACCGGGGGAGCAGAGCACCTAGGCACATCAATAATTCATAAAATGCCAGCAGCAATGAAGGGAAAGAGGGACCAGAAGTAGCAGAACAGAATATCATAAAGCTTTTTAATGGTCTTTTTCCATTAGTGTCAGATATGTGGCTGTTTTTCAAGCAGGGAAGTTCCCCTGGACTACCACACACATCGGTGTCCCCGTCACACCGTCCCTCCCGGCCAGGGCATCGGGTCCCAGGCCCCAAGTGCAGCCAGCAAGATGGGGCTGACGTTACTCAGGGCTATCGCGCATTTTCAGGAGGGTTTACAGCATGGCATGGCACGGCCTGCAGATGGTACCCCTTGTGGAGGTGCAGCAGGAGCATAATTGTGGTGTGAACACTCAGCAGAAAGGCTCAGCTCCAGCATCATTGGCTGGGTTCACCCTACAACCTCTGAACAAGCCCGAGTTTGGGAAACCTTCTGCTTCGCTGCTTGTGGGCACACCCACTGACCTCCTCCATCTCTAGCCGCACCACAGCTGAGCTCCCCGGCCCATCTCGGATCCACATACTCCCCAGGTACAGAAAAATCTGGATTTTTTCATATAAATGTAGGGGAAAAATGAGGCCAGAGCAGGGAGCTCTGCACCCGAGAACCGCGTGCAGCTCACTGTGTGGCAGCTGGGTGGGGAAGTGCCTCGTTAAAGCTTGAGGGCGCCCGGGGCCCTCAGCTCCCCACACTGCCCAAGCAGCACGGAGCTCGATGGCTGATGGAGGGGTGCGGCAGGCACACACCAGCAATGTCAGCCCCAGGTTTCAGACCAAAATCCACCTCCTGAGCCCCGCCACAGGGTTGGTGAAGGGTTTAAATAACATTATCCACACTGAGGGGCAGCGGGACGGGTGCTGGGCACCGCGATGCAGTGCGGTGCTGTGCTGTGCTGTGCCCCTTGCTACAGCCCCACCAGTATAAGTGACACTGGAGGTAAAGGCAGCTCGTTGCTTCCAGCCAAGTGCCTGCAGATCTGCGACAGCCGCTGCTCTGGGGCTGCACATCATCAGTGGACGCACAGCCCCGCTGCGCAGCGGTGCTGTTTGCCACGTCAGCCAGCAAGTGTGCGTTTGTCAGGGACCGCTGCAGCTGGGGGGCTGTGGCCGGGCTGGCCCAGGCAGGTCCCCGTGCAGACCCCAGGCACCGTGCAGCAGCGAGGGGCGAGGCAGGGCAGGGAGTTGGACTGCAGGGAGTGGGAACGCCGGGGGCACTGCCAGCCCCCTGGCAGCGGGGACCCCCCCGCGGCCACCCGGTGCCAGCTTGGGGCTGCCGCCCTCCGACACAGCACCCCCGGGTCTCCCTGGCAGATGCTGGCACCGCGGTAGCCTGCAGGCCCTGCAGACAGCCCAGGGCAAAAATTTTAATTCAGCATCAGACTTCAACCTGAAATCTGAAAAAATGGAAAAAGAATGACAGGATGTCAGCATCTCTGGGCCCGTGTGGCTGAGCTGCGGAGCACAGCTACGTGGCGCGGGGGCTGTGGGGTGGCACCTGCCCGCAGGAGCCGTCACCATCGCGAGGGCTGTGACACTCCCTGGCAGGGGAAACCCAAGGACGGGGCTGGGTATCAGCTCCTGTCACACAGCTGCAAAGAGGAAGACAAAGGCCACCTGATGTGACATAAGGAACTTGGGCAGCTTTGAGAGGGGCTACCCAAAACATAAAATTTCAAGCATCGTTCCTGCATGCCTGGCAGGGAAGTTGGATCACTTAAGAAATACACCTTAAAAAATCACAACAACCTGAACATTTGAAAAGGCTGAAGGTTTAAAAATCTCTGTGAAAAATGCTCCCTCTCAACCAGCACCCACAGCAGCAGCCCCGTGCTGTGACACCCCAGAGCGGAGCCAAATGCTCCCGCGCTGCCCTGAAGCAATGAGACCGTGGGTGCTGCCGTCAGAGAAGGGATTGAAACCAGGCTGCTGCTGGCTCCCTGGGTGCAGGCTTTTATAAAAACCTGTCTGGATAGATACCCAGCCGCCCAGAAGACATTGCACTCACACTGTCACAGCATCCCTTACTGCCCTGCAGAGCCCCAGTCACCAAAGCTGCTCTGGTGTTGGGTTTGCCCCTGAAGGGCTCCATCCTTGAGACCCAGCACTGCCAAGGCCTTGTTCTCCCAAGGGGCAAACCCAGCGGTGTGTTTCCAGCCCAGACAGCAGCTCTGAGGTTTTGCTGCCTATGACGTGAGTGAGCAGCGGGAGCCAGGCTAGTGTCTGTGTCCTGTTGGTCCTCTTTCGTATCTGCATTCTTGGAGTGTTCCCTGCTGGTTAATTAGTGAGGCTATTGCTGTCAACAGCAACTTCTGCATTCAGAATCCAGATGTGGATTACAATCTAGGTGAGGTTTAAATGTATTTTAAACGCAAGCACATCACAGCGACTTGCACTGTGCACCTCAGAACTAATTGCTTGTGAAAGAGCTGCAGCCCAAGAATTACTGGCTGTTTTTTTTTGTTGTTGTTGTTTTGTTTTGTTTTTTAGAAAAGAAATCTGAGCAGTAAGGGCGGGGGCTGCGGTGCAGCGGGGCTCCGCATGGAACGGGGCCAGCTCTCCGCTGAACACGGAAGAGGGCCTCGCAGATGCTCCGATCTGCCAGCCCGTAATTAATAAATTATTGAGACAATCCTGAAACAAGCGGATGAAAGTGGGGATGAAAGGCAGTAGCGGCAGACAGACAGCCCCGCTGTTTGGGGAGGATCTGAGCCATCACGTCCAGAAATCGTTCTGATCTCCTGCCGTCACCAAGCCGAGCCCTTCTGACGCACCTCGGCCCCGTCCTGCGGCTCCTGGGGGTGCGGGCAGCGGGCCCGGGGCTGGCAGCCCTGCTGGGCACAACGGGGCCATGAAGGAGCCGGGCAGCAGCAGCACCGGGAGCCTCAGCACAGCGCTACCGACAGGTCCCGCAGCGGTGCTGGTGCTGGCAGCACTTCAGGGAAAAAAGCTCCTTGGGCTTTTAGTCTGTTATTGTTGGCAGAAAGAGAGGTGGGAAGGGCGGGAGCGTGGATGGCTGGGGCCAACCCCCTGCTGGGTTGGTTATTTGTTTGTTTGTTTATTTATTTATTTATTTATTTAACCTTTATTTATTTATTTATTTAACCTTTATTTATTTATTTAACCTTTATTTATTTATTTAGCCTGTATTTATTTATTTATTTATCTAACCTTTATTTATGTATTTAACCTGTATGTATTTGTGTATTTAACCTGTATTCCCTCAGACCCCCGCTCCCCGCGGCCCCTCAGGAGCCCCCTCCCCGTCCCCCCCCCCGCGTCCCGGCCCCGTCAGCGCCCCCCGGCGGCCGCGCGGAGCCCGCGCTGCCTCCCCATTGGCCGGCCCTGGGCCGCGCCCGCTCATTGGCTGCCGCCCGAGCACCGCCCTCTGGCACGTCACGGGGCGGGCCGCTCCCGATGTGACCTTTGTGATTGGCCGTGCGCAGCGGCCCGCGCGGTCTGATTGGCTCGCGGGGATCCCCCGCTCTGCGCGCTGATTGGGCGCGGCTTCCGTTCTTTTTTTTTTTCCGCCTGGTTCCGCCTGACGTGACGTCAGTTCCGGCCCGCTCTCGGGTCACGTGAGGCGCGACCCCGCTCGGTGGGCGGGGCGGGGCGGCCCCGGCAGCCAATGGGGACGCGCCTGGCTGCCCCCATTCAAAGTCGGCGGGCGCCGCGGCCAATCGCGAGCCGGGCCCGCCCCCGCGCCCCGTGACGGACGCGCGGCGCGGCCAATGGGGCGCGGCGGGGCCTGGCCGGGGCGGCGGCGGCTCGGCGGCGCTGCGAGGCGGCCATGGCGGAGCGGGGCGGCGGCGGCGGCGCGGGGGGAGGCGGCGGCGAGGGCGAGGCGGCGGCGGAGCGCTTCGGGGGGGACATCAGGTGCGGGGCGGGGCCGCTCTGACGCACGGCACGGCCCGGCGCCGACAGCCGCTGCACACGGG